TTTTACAAATTTGAGTTCACCCCTAACTTGGATTTCTTTAGAAACTAATGGCATTGCTTAAGTGACAGTAAATCCAACGTTTTGACGAAATCAACGCAGTTTTTTGAGTGAAAACGCGTAAAATGAATAATTTACGTGATTTCTAATTTGGTGATTTCAGATCAAAAGTAAAGCGTAAATTCAAGGTTGTACACGTATATGCAGCACTACTGATACTTTTGAATGCTGTAACAAGTAAAAATAGAGATTCCTCTGAGGCATGGTAGCTTTTTTCAATGGCATCAATTACCCAACTTTTCCGTTTAAATTCTTGGTTTTTTGTAATTGTTTTACTTAGGCTTATTAAGTAGCACTCTTGGCAAAACTTACGTAGTGAAATTCTGATGCAGCAAAATTGCTGAAGATTAGTATCCCTGCTCAACTGCACATATTTTATTCATGTTCATTTATTTTGACTGCGCAAAATAAGTGAATGAACTGGTTTAAAGATATATACTTCTTACCCCTCTGCCTTTGGAATTTTGCTGCAATTTTCAATTACGTGAAAAATGGATTAGTTAAGTATTTTAATTTCAAGAATATATCATTATGCTGCGCACTTTAATTCAGTAACAAGTTTGAAAAGAAGCTGTATTAAGCTTATTTGATATCGTTAGATCTAGCATTAATAAACGGCACTTACGCATATTTTCTACCAATCACAACGAGGTAAACGAATTGTTAACCAATGATCTCTCTTTTGCACTTTCAGCGCAATAATCAGCTTTTACAGCACTCTCCACACAATGAAAAGCCCAATTATTTCATTTTAACTGAGCTTTGCTCAACTGAACTCGTATCGAGAAGCCCACAACTGCGTAAGCACCGACCAATCAGATTGACGCAACAAAAGCATCACACATTCGCATCATAATTTCGTTTGGCTTCACTTGTTCAGGAATCAATGAGCTAGTCACAAATGCTCCGCATATATTTCCTCCTTCTTGCACTTCTTCTTTTACCACTGCTAAATGCATCTTCAGATAGAAATCCCAGATGTTTTGTAGAATATGCTGACCCAAGAAACACGACTTTCAATGGAACGGCGGAATTTCTCACAGAAAGCTACTCAGATGGTGTTAAAGTTGTCATCAAAGTAGAAAGGATTCTCTCTGATCCTACAAAAGCACTGAGGCTCCGTTCAAGTCCTATCGAGGGATACCTTTCAAGCCCTTATTGTGTTTCCTCCGTTCTTATTGGTAAACCACAGATATGGTTGGGAAGCCATAAATTCGACGGAGTTAAGTTGAAGTTCATTGTTCAAGTAGTTCGACATTTGGGTACGTTTACCCTTTTATGCCATCTAATTTACTTATGCACCTGATTTCAGTTATTATTTTAAAAAAATCTCTCCTTTTGAAGAACATCTATCCTCTAATATATTTTACTATCCGGCAAACACTAAATCCGTCTTACAAATTAAATTGTGTATCGTGAGGGTGCAGTGATTACAGTAAATTAGTTCAACCAAGTGGGTCTGCGTAATTAATAGCTTTTTTTTCACTAAGACAAGCTTGACATTTTATGGATGTCAGGTATTCTTCGGCTTTATTTGTACCTGTTAATCGAGGTTCTGATTTCTAACATCACCCACTGTGCCAAAATACACCAGCAACACAGGAAGAGTCCCACAAAGTCTGCTTGAAACTCTATTGAGTGAAACACATTTGTGTTTGAATATGTTTTACATATTTTGGGTTAATCTTAGCCCAAAGCTTAGTAACTTAACACAGAGTTCCGAATTGGCAGTGGTTTTACAGCCGTTTTTGTTCAAATTGTAAAATTAATTCTGTACCATCAAATGCTTTACAAAGAATTACATTTAAGTTAATTGGTGACATTACTTGATTTTCCAAATAGTATTGTTTTTATTTCTAAGAGATGTCTAAAATAAACATCTGAATATGAATAAACAATTCTCATTCTGAAGATGCCATGCAATCTGGCTTTACTTTTACTATGTTGTTGACACATTTCGTTCACCATCCTCGGCATAGTTGGATGAGATATTAGACAGCTCTGTTTGACTTTGACGCCACTACCATTCAAACAAAGTCTTCAATTGCTCAAAGTAGTTTTAGTAAACCTTGTGTAGACATCAATATTATTGGCATATAAAGATGCACTGTTTAGAATAACAACATCCATCATTGGAGTGACCTCCATAAAATCTAAAATCCACTATCTTTTTAAAATGATTACATCTAGCCAGTGTTTCGCTGTTCATGACTTTCTGGCGGTTAAATGTGAGTGATGTGGTTTGTGGAAGCGTTTCTTTCATGTTTTGTGAGAAAATTTTGGAAGCGCGGCTTGGCTGGGCTCCAGATCTCTTAGCAAATTAGTTTGATCTCACACGTATCAAACTCACTCATCATAATTGAGAAAGAAACCAACTTACTTGCTTGATGAGGTTACATCTCATAATCTTCCTCCCCAAAACTCCTTTCTTTAAATTCAAATCCCATTTGCTCCGGTATTTGTGACTTATAGGAGCAGTACTTTTTGTGGGAACAATGGGCGATTTTCCCGACAGTCGACGATCATTTTACATCCAGAAAAACAAGAATAGAATCTTGGGGAATCCAAATCTTTTAACATTATAGTGTTTCACCCACACAGTATAAAACACATTGCAACTGTAGTATTTACCCATATTTAGTTTACCCAGCTTATTGTTTAGTAACTTTAAACAAAATGTGCTAACTTAGTTTGTTAATTACACATAATGCCTGTAGGTGCCTTAACTAGCATTATAGGCGATTCTTACCTTAGGGTTTAGGTATAAAACAAACTGAGATGACTTGCTCCAATTAATTTTTTCCGGATAAAAGTTAAAAGTGACACGGTTTGATTGCACTGTAACAAAAGGTACCTTTAATTTCACTACACCGTCACGCCTTATTTCAATAAGCAATGCCTCGGACAAAAAGTGGCTAGACACTCATATTGATGCATGTATAGTATTCCAAAACGTGACGTGGTTGGCCTGTACAAACGTGTTGACTCAATTTTCCGACTGTCTGTATAACTTGTATGGCCAATTGTCATCCTTATCTAGTACTGATCCATCAGGATAGAATGGTGGCATATCCTGTAAGATGATTTGAGTTGCTAATGAATGTTCGGCAAAAACAAAATCAAATTCCAATAACAATGGATTGCCCTTTTAGTACCCAATTTTAAAAGTGAATCTAGAGATTTCAAGAGCTCGTTATCTCAGAAGTCCCTCTTTTATTTCAACCTGTGCTGTTGCGGACAATGAAACTGAACAAAATGCGTGGTGTAGCAATTTAAATCGTCTTCATGAAATGTTAATGTGCCCGAATGTCTCATCAAATAAAAATGATAAATTTTTATCACTTTCTTATTTGCAGAAGCATTTTTTGTAACAAATAATAATTATGTTTGACAATCAGTTGCGTAGAATAAATTTGAACTGTCTTTCATTTCGTTAGTCTGACTGTTTGCCGAGTGAATTAATCACGGGAGAAAAATATTAGGATATAAGATAAACTTCTGAAACTATCATAGTTTCACTGTTCTAGTTGTTTTATAGGGAGTAAGAAGAGACACCCCTTAAACATGTTACTACAATACGATGGGATTAGGAGAGCATAAAGTATTGCTGGGCTATATGCGAAATGGGTTGTCACAAAGAACTTTCTTACCATTGCAACGTCCAAAAACTGCAACCGATGACATTTGGCAATAAAAAAGACAGGGTGCGTACACTTCCGTGCAAAAGCAACAGCAGGTTCGGTATCGTTCAGTTTGGAAAGAATTTGATGCGCCATTTTAAACCATGTTATGTATACGCTTTTCTAAAGATGACGAATAACCAACATAAAAAGGACAACTCTGTATGCTGCCAGTTCGAGTGTACGAATTTTTTAAAAGCTCCTCTGTGGGAGCAAAGACTTTCTAACAATTATTTTAGCCGTCTGGTTCCAATCGCTCCCAGTAAACGAGGGTGACACAAAGACGGATTTCAAATCCAAATACCGTAGAATGGATCCCCACCTCGAAGGATACAATTACAATTAAACTTGCAGCGTCCAGATAAATTTTTATTATAAAGCTGTACTGAGGCACGACACGGAAGGTAAAGGTTAAATAAACAATGGCCTGCTCTTAAATAGCCGATTTAGCTATGCAATAAATACGTGAATCTCAAACAGCAAAAGTAACTTAGGGGAATATGAAATTTTCTCCACGCCGTGAAATAATCGTGTTTTGTTTTTTTCGGAAAGGTGCAAAATCCAAGCATTATCATTAGCACTGATGAATCAAATCCTTTGTTAACAGTTAAAAGCATTTTTTGTCAGAAATCACTCAATGCCTACCGATTAAAGCCTAAAACCCAATTATTAACCATTCAGTTTGTTCAAATGGTAGCACTTTAGAAGGTATTCCAAATAAGCATTGAATAAATGATATGTACGCTTTGATTAAACAATGGGTTTTGATAAGGAAGAATACACCGACTCACTACCCCAATCACAGAATAGGATAAAGCCCACGACAAGTTGATATATTAATCCCTCATATTCGTCAATCCCATGTAATAGTTCCATTGCCAATAGAGTAACGGAGGCTAGAGCTCCTCAAGCTACTTTAAAATGCCCATATTTTGCATTTATTTTTAAAAGTTAAATTAACAAATAAAAAGAATAGGTAAAGAAGAGGTCTTGTTTCTCACCCTGTAATCGAGGACAAACATCTGCTCAAAGCCAGGTGTAGAAAGAGCATTGCATTGAGGACATGCGATGTGATTAGGCCCTCCTTTCCTTCTCTGAGTGATTGGATGTGGCAACATCGGGGTGAATCATTCTTTGGACGATGAGAAGACCACACATAAGAACACTTTTGCAACCACTGAAGGATGAAGGCATTATTCAAAAGCCTTTTATAGAATAAAGCTTAAATTGTCGTTGTAAATGCTTTTGAAATTGCTCTAAAAATAAAAACTAACAGTCCTAATTTTGTATCACAGGTTCGTATACCCATGTAAGTAGTCCGTAAAGTGTATATACAGTTAGTATCACTACGAGGTGACACTGGGTGAACTGCAGAGATCTGATAACTTTACCTGACTTTCCAAGAACGGCACAATTTTTATGTTAGTAAATTCGAAATATCTTTTCTGTGGATGTTTTCAAGATGCTGATTAAATTCAGTAGATTAGAAAATGTTGCCAAACAAGCCGAAATTAGCAACAACCAAACCAACAAAGTTTGTAAACAAATAGCCTGATTACCTACACATTCAAGTTAGATGAGGAAAGAAGTTTCCAAAATTAATTAAAATGTGAACGAATGTTCATGCTTTCCAATGTTCATAAAAGCCTATTTGAGAAATCCATTATCATAGCTGAATTTATAAGCTAACACTCGAGAAATTGCTACTCCAAAATTTTAAAGTGATCAAACAGGCTTGTACGTTTTTTGTAAGGAAATTAACCATCTAAAATAATTTTATTTCTTTAAAAAAGTCCTAATTCTCACTACACAAGGAAGCTGTGAATTGGCGTTTTGACTCAGAAAAGAAAGGCCAACTTTAGCCACTAATACCCCTTATCATCATTAATTCCCACTTTTCTACTTTAATTGACAGGTAATTGGGTGGCTCACTGGTGTCAGGAAGGGAGGAGTATAGTATTTTAGACTATTAAAGCTGAGGGTGCGGAAGTATTTTCCACTTGCTAATGCCCTTTTGGTCACTTAGAATAAATGTTTATAGTGCTTAATCAAAAAGATCACAATTGTTGTAATAATAATGCTTAATTAGAAACCGAGTGAGTCCATTTTTAATAAACGTTGCGTTTGCACTCAAGCGCAATGTAATGAGGTGATTGAAGCAACTGGTATGCACTGATGGAACCCATGAAGAATTTAAAACTTGAAGACAGCCAAATACCTCTTCCGATATGGTATATTATTTCCATGATCGCATAACTATTTTTAGATTAAGCAAAAATTTCACTGGTGGTAGCCCATGAAAACACAGAAATCCGTGGCATACAACCGTAAGCAAAATGCGCCACAGTGGCTCAGAGTCTTCCGCAGAGTCGTCATGAGTCAAAGCGGTATTGCAGTACACATATTGCTAACCTTCCAAAGGAGTTGGTAAACGATCATCATGGCTCGTTGGAAAGCCATGACATGGGGCAAAGAACAATCTTTGAAAACTCAAGTGTCTGTGCAGCTCAACAAAATATCATATCACTATATCACAAGCATCTAAATTAACTGAAGTTGAAAGGAAAGTGTCTAGTGCATACTTATCCTTACTTCCTTCTCCTAAGTACTAGTTTCCATTGAATGAATAATGAATGGACCGCTTAGACAAATCATTACACGAGCATATCCTATTCAGACCCTCGAGCTAATTGCTTTTGTGTTGGTAGCTCCTTACGCACCTCTAATTTCAGAAAAAGATAAGTTTTTATTATTGTATTACATTCTAAGCTCTCCCTTGCTGTTTAAATTTAACTTTAACCTTACCTTAGTTGGATAGTTTATGCATGCCTTTATTTACTTCAACATAATGTAGCGAATTGCGGTTTTAGTGTCAAAATTTTTATCAGCTTTTTGAACTAAATCAACCAGTATTAAGTTAAGGTTTTGCTGAGCTGATCAAAATAAATGATGCAGATTGTGAAAAAATATGCGACTCTCGAACTCGCCTTTGAAACCGTGATAAGACGTATTAGCATAGAAATATGATTAATTATTAGTGAACAGAAGTAACGGGGGCTATAAACATATCCAGAAGTAAGAATTGTGGAGAGTCCGCCATAATATTCTTTAATATTTTAACGACTTCCAGCAGGCATTTTGCAAAATTCGGAATATGCACGGTATGATGGCTATTTTCATCAAGAAATCGAAAAGGATCCCACGATTTTGCTATTTTTTTTGCATTTCTTCACCGACTGTAGATTCTCTTGAGGAGGATCTATGTCTGCAGAAGCAGTGCCATTCTGGCGCTATATGCGAGACTTGGAATGATATCGCACTGTCAAAGGTCACCGTATGTGTCTGTCTTTCCCTTTACGATCTGGCAACATCTGGCAGGTGTCAACTTACAACAGGAGAAGTTTGCGCCTCTGACGGAAACATCTATGCTAACACTTGCCATATGCTTCGTACCTCATGTCTACAGCAAACCGAACTAAGCATAGTCTCGTGGGCTGCGGTCAATCAGAAGGACTGCCAACAACAGGCTAGTAAGTGTGTTTCCTGCAATTTACTATTCCTAGCTCAGGTATTGCTACACAACTTAACCGTGGGTAATTACACCTATGTCATCCACACTTTGTGACACTCTTTACCCTCGTATAAGTTTACCATTCTGTGAAAAAAATGTCTTTGGCTAGAGCTCTAGAAAAAAACTATTAAATTCGTAGAAAACGCATTTATCCGATGACCTTAGTGGTGACAAAATGACCTTATATGCAAATCACTTTAAAAGCTAAAAGCTACTGGTGTCCTACACTCTAAATGGTCTTGCACTAATAATTTGCTTTAATTTTTTGATTTGAAGTCCCCAATAAAGGAAGAATACATTAAATCTTGTTGAGAATTCTCAAAATATATTCATAATACAGTTGGATAAGTATTTGTGATTTTATAAAAGTTAGGTAACTAAAAAAGACCCCTTAAAACATTTTCTCGGTGAAATATTTAACATTAAAATTAATATGCCTTTTTCAACAAAGCACAAGTTGGCTGTCTTAAGCCACTTTCTCTTCCACTTCCCCTTTAATTCCTATACCTATTTTACTCCCCTTTCCTGCTAATACCAAGATAGAGCGAGAATTGACACCTGAAGGAGCATCAAGTAAGGAAAATGGACAACGCTGATGGAAAAGTGGTAAAGGCACTATGTCCCAATATCCCTCTCTCATTTCATTTTATTCCCTCCCATCCTTTAATGCAAATTTTCGTATGGGTCAGGCGTTCGGTATGTGATGCAGGGGATGAGGGCTGGAATTGTGTTGTAAAAATAAAAATATGCCCTTCATTCTAGGGAGCAATTGCATAGTCTTGCCTGAATTCGAAGACGAATGTGTTTACTTGCATACTAGCAAGCTGTATCGAGTAGATAGGCATCAGCCGTAATCGAAGTTTGACATTCAGTAGGTGAACAATTTCGCCATCAGTGGACCACACACACACACACATATTCACACAAAACGTAGCCTTGTGGGAATGAAATGTAAAGTAGCTACTGTATGTAGTGAGTGGGTCGTTCGAGAATAATCGATGCTATGCTTCATCACTCAGTCAACGTCGCAATTTAAAAGTTATTTCCCGCTACAAGTCAGTCGGCAAATAATCTTAATTGGAGTAGTCGGTAGTCATCGAAATTTATTGTTGTCTGTTAGTGTATGGCGTCTGGGATCCATTCACCTAGTCTCTTCAGGGATTCTTCATTCTCACTTGACGTGGATGCGTGCAATTTGTTTCTTTACTAACGGCAAGCATTACTTCGAGCTGTTCCTGATAAGTTGGTTTGGAATAATTCCTCAAGATCAATAATGAAGCCTTCATGTACCCGCTTCATCCATATTTTATCGGTCACTAGAATCAAATGCTGTTTGCTTAAACAATATCTGGGGTATTACATCTTCAAATGTTATAATTTAAATTTGACCTAGAAGTTTCTATAGCTTTGCGACAAAGTTAAACTGATATCGTAAGACAGGGAATCTCGTGTAAAATTCATCAAATTGGATCGACATTAAACAAAATTAGAGTTCAAATTGCGAGGAATAGAGTACAAATAAAAATAGTACATTTTTCTCTAAAAAAATTAGTAAATAGTAAATTAAAAAACAAGTGTCGGCATGTTTGAATATATCAAAAAGTTGTGGCACAGTGAGACATCACTTTTAAACAGGTTTGGGCCCTGAAACTTCCATGAAGACGAAAGAAGGCAAATATGTATTATTGCCGTAGAGACTGGCCAAGGGGCTACTGGCACGTCCCGCAAGCGAAAGTGTAAATACCCGTTCTCTTCGGTACCGACGCGACCAAAGCCGAGTAAAATAAACAATCAAAGTACCACACAGCCATTAATAATCATAATATTTTGCAGAACGGGATCTTCAAATTTGGGGACATCTTTTAATTTCTCCAAAAATTTGTTGCGAAATTGGGACGTGGATTGAATTTTTTCGTTTATTAGGTTGGTTAAGGGTCGGGTTTCCTTTTTTCAAGGTTGAATATAGTAATTCGCAAATATGCAATATTTGACTACAAAAACCCGGAACTTGTTTCCGCTAACAAAAAATTGCACTAATAATCTAGGAATTGAGGATTAAGGGGGGGCTTTAATACTACTAGAGGGAAGGTTTGGTAGCACTGGTTGTCTTTATTCCTTAACACTTGATGATCAAGGACCAAATTTACATAGCAATGATATGAGCTACAAATTGATAAGTCAGAACTAACCAAAACATTATGCCCTTTTAATACACTAAACATTTAATTATAAAGTAAAACCATTAAATTAGCTTGAGTTTTTAAATCCTACAGGCTAATTCAAGATATATTTTCTATATAGCAAACAGGCGCATTGACGCAGCAGTTAATTCATGTGAGTACCCGAAATCACTTTTTACAAAGTTATGCCGTCTTTGAATTAATTTTTACGATAAATTATATATAATGAGAAGTAAATTACTTGCTTGCTTATCCACTTACCGTGTTGTTCTTGAGGACCAGTTAATAATGATTAATCACCGAAACCCAAGTAACATATATCAAATTGTCCCATTGGATGCGTATTCGCCTTTTCTATGACTGCTTTAAGTTCACATTCCCAAGCCTCATCAGTGGGTAGAGGCTCGTTAGGTGAAGGCAAGCTAAGCCCTCTGCATGTCCCAAACTACTGGAGCTTCAATGATTAAATTAAACAAGGGGTTTATAACATTTGCATCAAAAGGTAGCCATAAAACCAACTAGTCGTTTGCTCCCTTGATTTATATTTATTGAGGATAAAAGCAAAGACAAGTCAAAGTGACGTCCACAGTTTTCATATGGAGCACACAAGAAAAAACCATGCTCAGTGTCCAGATAATATTTACAGTTTTGGTATGGATTAATTTCATGCTACATGAACAAAATCAAATATGCGTCTATAATTTAAATTAAGATGTTAAAAAATTATTATCAAAAGGAGTGCCATTAGAAATAGCAACGGCCATAACTAGAACCAGTATTTAGAAATTACATGGCCAAATTTCAAAAAAAAATATTTCCAATCCTTAAATTCGTTTATGGCACTGTCCAAGTTGTAATATGTTTTTTCAGCTGAACCACAATGGAATAAAAAACATCGAGTGCTCACTCACAAACACGAGGTTTGCTACTTCATACCGTGGTTGTTCACACACATCTGCTGGTGCGCATTAAATTGCCTGCACAAGTGTTTGTGTGCTCGTGGAAACATAACTGGTGATTGACATAAACTACTTTGAAAGTGTAGCTTATGCAGGTTTTGGCTAATTATTTTGGCGGCATTTGAGCAATTACAATTGGACAATTTGATAGCACTAAAGAATTGAAGAATGAACCGATGCGACAGTTTAAATAGCAGTTTTGGGTATTATAGACTGGTAGATTGCAGGTAGGATAGTCTACAGGCTTCACAGGCCCTGCTTCATATATGACGCAATTAAAGTAATGCTATTCATTATGTTCTTTTTCAAGCAGTCTTTTTTGGAAAAAGAGCTAATTGTTCATCTTTGCGTTTAGACTACTGCAAAATTGTTCAGATTTGAATTATACTATGTTAAATTGTATGCTTCTTACCTTAGTTGTTTACTCTGTGTTCACATTTAAACTTAGTATAATGCAGATCCGAACTATACAGATACAGATATAATCGCTCAATAAACAATAATTAGGCATCAATCATTTGTATTTCCTCACTAAAATAAGACTTTTTCACGAAATTTGGGAAGTTCCTGTAACAGTTTTAAGGCCTCTTACTTTGTTTGTGAGTTCACTAATAAAATTTAAGTGAGTTATTGGCTCTTCATTCATCATGAAGAATCACAACAAATCATCCCATACAATTCAGCTTCTTAATTAGCAATATTTTTGCTAAGTCCAAGTAATGCACACTCAAATCTTGAATCTTCCGTTTGTCATCGAAGCATAAAACCCTACTTATTAACTTATCTAATAGCTCACATTGATGCTCCAAATGACGTAATAGCTAAAAAATACCAGAAAGAACCGATCAAATCCCAAATATTATAAGCAGTTTGCCCCATTCATTCACACCCAAGCAGAAATCCAAAACCGTGTCAGCAAATTCTCCTATTTTCGACTCATGGTACATCATTTAATCAACCTTTTTCATATCCAACGGCCCTTTGAATTCAACACCTTTTTTAATTTTAGAATCGGTCAAACTACGACGTTTTCGGTCTCAATCAAAAGTACACTACAAAGCGGCCACCTACACTCCGCATTTAATGTTTGAAGATGAACAGCAAGGTGAGAAACCTCAACAGGATAGTGTGCATCCTAACAAGCGGGAACCAATCGTACCAACAAAGAAGCCAGACTGTGTGCACACATGCTCTCTGACTACAGTCCAACCGGTGTGCGGGAGTGATGGCAACACCTATCTCAACCCTTGTCTACTAGAACTGCGAGGCTGCATATCATTACAACCAGCCGAACTTCACGCCGTACACTGGGGATACTGTCCAGCCAGACCACCAGGTAAACTTATCTTTGCGCCTTAATATGGCTTCATCTGGTGAATGTTATGAGTCTCTTTATCCAGGACAAATACAAATTTTTTTATAACAATTTATGTTATTTAAGATTTACAAGTTATTTTCTTGTGTAAAAATTCGAACCATAGGCTAAAATATCTTTTTAAAGAGGTTCACCAATATCATCTGCCATTATTTGACAATTCTTGCTCGCATTAATCACGGAAAAAATGGCAGGAAACAAAGAACATCAACAAATTGAAAACACCACTTTTGTCAAATAGTGTATGTACAAAGCATATTCTTGCCGTACCTGGACTTTCGAGTCTACACAGAAAACAGCAGTTGTTAATGCATAAAAAGAGCAAATATCTTCCCATACAACTCCCCTCTACATCTACTAAAACACCTTAGTGTTTGAGTAACAAATGGGAAATTGAGACATAAAAAGACCAAAATGTGTGCGGTTTGCTCCAGTATCTTTAGGAAATCGCAAATGTTCCTAAATGGTTATAGCTACTGTTTCTTGAGTAAGAGTATGCAGATTTTGTCAAAGATCAGACATACTGCATGCTGAATTCCCACAAAAGTGGGTAATGCGCTGTAGGTTGAGAATTACAATGACATGCAACCATATTTAAAATGATGACTTTACTCTAAATTCCTAATGAGACCGGGTTTTCAGTCATTGTATAAGCTGTGCTTATAGTTTTCTATCGATATCAACGTGAGTGTAACGAAAGCGGGGCAATTAAACCTCCAGCAATCACATTTTCAACTTTTCAAATGACAGCACACGCTTTGGGTGATATTTAGTTATATTGTCAGTGATTTTTTTGATAGTTCTTTCAGCAGAATCTCCTTTAAATTAGCTCATACTATGAGAGTTATTAAGTCAGATTATTAAGGTGACATGATCGCTAAATCCGATTATCCTCCTTTTTTCTTCTCAAAACACTCAAGGCCTACGATGTGCGATTTCCTCATATCTTGATTTGATAAACAGTTTATAATGTTTACAGGCAAGGCGAAATGCCTTAAGAGAAGAATGGCTAGAAGGACATCGCGATTGCAGTAGTATTCAAGCGTCGCAAATACTCCAAAGCCTCTCCACTATGGAAATAATCATGGCTAAAATCAGATACTTTTGCCAATTTCAAATACAAAAACTCATGCAAACTTTATGGCATACGTGACCTGGCAAATTTTGATCGGCAGATTAGGTGACGTAAATGACATAGCTTACATCGGTTCGTTCTAGACTTGTTGTGGTGAGATTAAACTGATATTTGCTGCACTAATGTTCAAGACATCTGAAGCAAACTTACAATAAAGGCCAAAAAGGTCAAAAGAGTGAAACTTTTATGAAATAGAACTTTATCATTAATCTGAATTAATTGCTTTAGTAAATTGACCATAACTAAGGCGAAATGCCATTAGGTTCCTAACAGACGATTGTATAACCAACAAAAGTGGTTGCAGAATGGTGTCATTAGCGCGTCTGCTTACCTTTTTTGTGATTTATGAGCTCTGATGTGTTTTTGATGTGTTTTTTGTGCTCTAATTAATCTTTACCCACCAGAAAAAACCTCCAACTTAAAGCACTTTAAAATCTCCAATGTTAAGGTGGTCTTTTTATTAGGAGCCATTTTTAAAATAATTGTACCCATAGTATCAGTGATATACCTAAAAACAGACAAAATTTGGACATATAGCTTCCTTAAATGTATGCAGGTTACATTGACCATATTATGAATGCTGTGTTATTTACTTAAAACTTACTTAGTAGCAAAAACATCTCCAAAACAAACTAGAAAGCACTGTGTAAACACCAAGGTTCTTAAACCTCTGCTACAGATAAATAGCGCTTGCCATGATTTTTCTTAACTGTGAATCGGACTAAGATAATTTGTTGAATTTGCATTTACAGCAATGTTATCAACATCAGACAATAATTCAACCAAAATAATACCTCTTGCCCAGTTGCGTCTCCTTAAACTTTAGGTTAAGTGGAAGTGACGATATGTTTGGGAAAAATTTCTTTGCTTTAACCAATGAAAACAATGTAAAATCTTAAAAAAAATTTATTAGTATACGGGATTACAACCATTTGCTAATGCAGTAGTTCTAATTTACTTAAAAAGACAACCAGATTTATGCATCCCAAATAGACGGCTTATTTTGCATTATATAATACACAGGTCAAAAACTTCCATTAAATACTCCAAAAAAAAGGCAAAAAAACGACAGCTATTAGGGACATAGGAAAAGAAACCACATGTTTACCATTATTTGAGCAGAACAGTGGTGCAGCTTTTGATAAAGTTCATCCCAATGACTTTTCATAACTTGGAGAGATTTTTTGAGGCACCAAAGTGTCTATTAGCGTAAATAATAAAGCATAAGCAGTGATCTTTAAAGCCAGCGATAAGCAGCAATATCTGCAGGAGCCCTCAAGTTAATGTCCCAGAGGTAAACACGAGATACTTGACTTCCCCCAGATTCAAACAATCTTACTCCACAGTGATTAAATCAATTCCACCTGCTCCCATACGAGCTCCAGGAGATAGCAGGCATCAGCATTGCTGGTGGCTTACTAATCACAGAAAGGAGAAACAGATATATATATGTATGTAATGGAAGATTGCCCCTTAAAAATGTTGAGTCGAAACCTCCAAATGTACCAAGAGGTGTTTTTTTGACCGGTGGATCCGTAAACTAGGGTTCTTTAAAACTTAAAGAGTTAACTATTTACAAAACCATGCAAAAGACACGTACAGTATCAGCCTTCTATAGGTACGGTTTTCTTAATTGTGTTCTCTAGTATTTTACTCTGATTTTTAACTACCACTTAGTAGAACGCCAAATAAAGTTGCTGTGATGAGCCATTTAATGACACGCCACATTCAAGAAAATCATCTACTCTTGATTAGACTAGTGAATCGCGTATCACTATTAATTAAAACAATAGTAGAATTACGCGTGGTAACGTTTAATTTGAGTGATTAAACGATTCGCTTTCATTTACATAAACTGAGAAGGTAGTTAAAACTACCTAGCGAATGTGTGTCACCCAAATGCATTAGCGAGTGACATTTGCCTTCAAAGACTAGCAATTAGGTCTCCATTCCTTTCATCTATCTAATAAAATACAGTGTTAGCAAAGGATTGTTGGCTAATTGCTTATTTTCCTGTTTGGGGCTGATTTGTTTGCTGACAATTTGTACTTTGTAATTCGAAGTTTGTAATGGCACAGGATATGGCATTGGTCATCCCCAAACAATCTAATCACTAACTACACCACTCACAGCATACACCAACAGTACCCACCACTCTCACCGCACACGTCCAAGCACCCATCGCTTCATCCTCACAATTATTTACTTGCTGAGGGTTCAACTATAATTACATCTGATGTCTATCTACTCTATACAACTCGAAGATATGGAATATTTCTCCTTCCTCGTATTTAGAAATAGCCAGGAATAGTAAGCGTTGCAGTCATTGATAAGGAGTAACCTTTTCTGCCATGCTAGCATCACGCCTAACCCAATGCCTCATACCAAGCTTCTCAAAACTTTCCTGTGAGAAAACCTTATATCGCACTTTGGAATGGAATAAGGAAGCTACTGTCTCTCCCTTAACTGACATTTCTTCACGTGATGATTGTCATCTTATCTTAGTATCACCATCAGGCCATTGTATGGTCACCTGTGAAAGAGAAAGGACAGATGGGAAACAAAGGTGAAATCGGAACCGGTGATGTCCATGGGCGTGTTCACTTTTCGAATTAAAGCATTTTATAAAAGCGGAGCTTGCATCTTTTTCGTATCTCACTGGGTAACAATGACGGATTTCTAAAAGTAACTGCTTTTACAAAAGAAAACTTCAAGAAACTTATTTCCTTAATGGTATCATAGTCAAAAAGTTTTTGAAAAGGAAGCCGAAATTTACACAATAATTACTATGAGATGCGGTCACTAATGCACGATAATTTTACCTTAAAACCTATTATTCCATCTTTCTGCTCCATTATATCAAAGCTAATAATCATTATTCGCAAAAAATGACTATTCAATCATGTCTATTCTTCAGATATTGAGCCAATTTTTTGCGACCATGCCAACTACTGTCAGTTTGGTGCCATGTGTGCATCCAACCCCCAGCTTCCTTCTACATACAATCATGACACCTTTTCATTGATGCGGCGCCAGGCAGGAATTCAAAGCTCGATTTGCACTTGTGGCCACTACAGATGCTCTGAGAAATGGTACAAAGAACCCATATGTGGAGACGATGGGGTCACGTATCCTGGAGACTGTTTTCTCAATCAAGCTGCCTGTATTCAACAATCTCCCAAACATAAACTTCACAGTGGTTCGTGTAAAACGTCCAATCAAGGTTAGTTGACAGATTGAACAATGTATTAACCAATTAGGACGGTGCCTTGACTGCTTCGCATTCCCTTATTGGTTCCATGATATTCACTCACTGTTGCTCGCATTACTTTCACTTAAGTGACTTACATGCATCTGTCTTCCTGGATAATCGTATTTCTTCAACTTTACACAGCAACCATTTATGGAAATCTTGTTTTCACTACCGATTTCCCCAGGGCAGGGGAGTGAATAACCCCTGCCAAGGGTACACTTGCCCTTTCAATGCTTGGTGCATACCCTCTGACGATTTTAGCTCACCCAGATGTATTTGCCACCAAACCTGCTATGAAGTGGGTGATTCTGACGATTCTGTCCCAGTTTGTGGATCCAATGGTGTGAATTACAAGAATGTGTGCCATCTTAAGCGTGAATCATGCTCTCTCAAGATTAATATTACCGTAAAATACTGGGGACGATGCGGTATGTGATTCTTACATGTTGATGCGCTATCAAAACAGGTCAAAACTATTCCTAAGCTGTTATCAGAGTCCAGTCATAGTGCTGTTTATTGTATTCAATAATTACTAGCTTCCTTCCGCACACATATTCAATTGGTCTAGAAAAAAGGACTTTGTTATTGAATATAGGTAGGAAGGATCGTCATTGGAAAGGCAGCGAAGTAAACTTGTTAATCTTCCTCTTCGAGTCCTAAAACCTTCATATCACACATAGATCCATGTGACACAGTAAATTGTCCAGTGGATTCTGTTTGTCGACTGGATGAGCAGCGAACCCCTAGTTGCCGATGTAGTGACGAAGAGTGTGATATATCAATGAACCAACCCGTCTGTGCCAACGATGGCAGGACGTATTCCAGCATATGCGTTATGCGTCAGCAGGCCTGTCTACGAGATCAGCAACTTCAAGTTCTATTCGACAACAACTGCGCAGCTGGTTGGTGGATCGTTCAAAAGCCGTATTATGAGCATTTCTTCTGTATTTTACGATTCACCCCAAAAGTCCTCAAATGTCTATTCAGGATGCACTAGCTACCGTAATACTAGGATTCCACTCAATTACTTGTAATTGGGAGAGATGTGTTCTTTTTACTAAGATTATTTAACAAAATTGCAATTTCAATGCGCAAACCTTGCTTAACTAAAAGGCAAGAGTGGTCTGCAATCCTCAAATCACGTCACGTTCTTCCCTTTCTTCACTTTCCACCAAGCATAACCAATCCCGGTTTTTCTGAAAACACATCAATTTTACACTTTTTCATTATTTTACTTACCTTTAAAGTTATATATTTTATTAGTCCTTTGTAAAAAATGGAGTCTATGAATTAATATTTCATGATTCCAGGTTACATAGCAAAATGTTTAAAGACAAAATTTCATTCGAAAATTACAAAATTCTAAAACATGCAAGTTAAAATAAAAGCATCTTTTTAAATATTATGTTTAACGAACCGGAAGCTTTGTTCATTACCATAAGTTCTATGCGTCTTTAGGTGTTCTTTTAGAAATTTGCTAATACGTAAGTAAAAATACCTGAAACAAAATATTTTGGAAGCACAATCTGTCAATGGCACAGACTATGGAGGTAGACTTGAAGCATCGATGTTTCTTAATTGATATGCATGGATCACAGGTATGAATCCATGCCTGGAACAGAGTTGTCCTTGGCCTGGCGAGGAATGCAGAGTAGACATTCAAGGGAGGAAGACGTGTGTCTGTCCGGAGCGTTGTCCGGCCATTGTTATTCCTGTTTGCGGTTCAGACGGCATCACCTACGACAGTGTTTGTCACCTTCTGCAAATGGCCTGTCTCAAAAAGAAGCATATATGGGTTGTTTATGCTGGACAATGTCGTGAGTTTCTTCTTGTAGGGAAACTAACAAATTTTCTCCATTCAGTAGTTAATTGCAACCAACATCAGTCAAAATTTTGAGTTTTAATAAAAACCAAAGTATGTATTAAAAGTACGAAAATCCTGTTTTGTGCTGGAGCTCTGCATTAAAGCTTACTTTAAGCAGCATGATTTAGAACCAACTGCTGCCACCTAGAAAAAAACAACATTTTCTGCAACAACTTCTATACCGACTCTCAAACTTTTCGCTGGACCTTATTGTCTATTTAATTCTGTAAAAACTGACGACCCAGTGGTAATTTGTTGGCTAATATTAAATTCAGAGGTTTCTCAGTTGGTCCACCAAAATCCTACTGTCGAGATTGAGGTTAAAATTCCGCCAATTTATTCAAAATTCCGCAATTTAACCTGGTTAAATGAAGGCGAAAAACTCCGTCTCCTGCTTATACACGGCCTTAAAAATGTTAGCAAAACCTGTTCATATGGTTGCAAGAAAGAAAATGTTGGTGATCATTACCCCTCTTTCCCTTGATGTTGGCATTCAAATGCAACTTTTTGTCTTCATATTTTACATTGTCTTTTATCACAGTTCTTCCAGGAAACGCGTGTGAAAGGCAGGGTCTCTACTGCCGGCGTTATGAAATATGCTCTCAGCAAAACAATCAAGTGGATCGTGATATGTCACTTACTTACGCAGCTCCTTCTCTCAAGTGCAGTTGTCCAATCTGCCCTGAGAGTGGTTTGGGTGGTAAGGTCTGCGGAAGTGATGGAAAAACCTATCAAAGTGAATGCCACTTACGAGCCGCTGCTTGTCAGGGTGAATCTTTTGAACTAGAAATTAAACAACGTGGCGCTTGTGGTAAGCAACAAAGCAATAGAATCGACTTATGCAAAATTAACTTGACAAATTGCAAGTTCTTATTAAATAATGATTATGGAAAATTTTCCACTTTTCATGTAGCATCATCATATTTTGAGAAATCGACAATTCATTCACAGTGGACACAAGATTCATTTGATAGACTGTGTAGCTTTCTCAGATCTGTGTAAAATATTCTAGCATTTAAATTAAAAACCCAGGTCATAGATATTCAAGAGCCATTTAAAAAATGTTACTAATTATTACTGTCTGCCTTAAGTTAAGCTGACTTTAATGCCACCAGATGGCTAATGCTTGTAAGCACTTGTAAAAGGCTAGCAAATGTTCATACGTATGTATATGTGTGATTCTGCCATTATTAATCACTTTATTGTTCTCCAAATTTTCCTCTCAATTTAAGACCCTATCACTTATCATAAAATATCTGGTACATGGTTTTGAGCTCTTTTACTTTCCAGATCAGGGTTAACTTGGCTTTAAAGATGGAAGAATTTCCGTCACACTCGGCTTTTTATAGTGTTAGGCGAAGGCGCATTATGCGACAGAAACTAAATTATAAGTAATGCAGTAAAAGAGTGTACCGACCAGAAGTGATTTTTAAAAATGCAGTTTTGGCGATGAATCACTGAAAGATAGGTGTAACACACTTGAAATGAACCACTATTCTTGTCAAGATAGGGGGATTATGCTATTCGCATCAGCTACAGACATAAAAAGTTTTTGTAATTAAGACCAAACAATTGGAACTTTGGTTTTGCTATACAATACCTTTTGATACAACTCAATGCGGCACAAGTAGGAACTTCATTCAGTTGGACAAAAGCCCTGTTATTATTCTTGAGGGACCACATGGCACATGACCTCCTGCCTCAAACTACCTCAAAACTGAGCCATTAAAGAGTTACTAGTAGTCTTCATTCCTTAACGTTAGACACTCAGTACGAGTTAGCTAGGGTTTGGCTTTCGGTTCTAGAGACAAAAAATGAAACACAGAATAAGCGCTTAGTATCTTTTAAAGTTACCGATCAAAATGGTAATTATCTCAACAAATATCATGAGATTTTCCTTGTATACTAAGGTCTGGAAACCTAAAATGCTCTACGCTGTGCGTGACCTTACTTAGCTCCAATTTTTGTTCTATACTTGCACACGCAAGTGTCAAATAAACATTCCCAAAGTGCCTCTTTTTAAAATGAAGATTTGAAGAATTTCCTACCGCCTGTAGAGACCATGGCTGCAACATACTCAACTAATTTAAAATGATTCCAAGCGAACTGACAATATTCAGTAACACAATTTAAAGGTGGGTATTTGAAAGAAGGCTTGGACTTTGCATGCATGTGGATATTAGACTTAGCGTAAATTAAAGTCTACAAGCACACACTGAAATGAGCGTCATTTTGCTTTGACACATTGATGACTAATCGGTAGGAGAAAAAACGGACATAAAAACCACTTCCAGTGTCCGTGATCCTTGCAATGCTCCATTCATTGGTAGCATGCATAGTTTGTAGTAATTTATTTGATAAAAATTTCATGTGGGGTTTATTGAAGACCTTAAGATCCCAAAACTTTGCATTTTATTCAGTTCGTATTTCACAGACTTCATTGCTAGAAATTGCTTATTTGATTTTAACAACGAAATTAAATATAAAAAAAGGTAAGACGCAGAAAATACACTAATGTGGGGTTCATTTTTACTTCCGATTTGTTGGTTCAATGTCAAATTCCCTCACACTTTGCAATTGAGTAGTTGTCTAAGAAAAATTATTTCTTCAACTAAATATGAATGTGTCTCTTGAATAAAAAAAAACATGGGACGAAAAAGGACCTTTCTGTATTTATTTTCGAAAAATATTGCAATAGATGCCTGTCAAAACAAGAAGTGTGAATTCTACTCAATGTGTCAAACTGATGGTGCTGGTCGGGCCTTCTGCGCTTGCCCTACAAACTGCCTGATGGTGAGTACACTCTAAAAGGTCATGTTTAATTTCATACGATGCGAACTCCTTCCAGATTAGATAGTCTACGAGAAAGAAGTGAAAAACAAATATCTTCTGTGGAGCATGGGAAATAAGGAATGTTCCTTAGGGCTTCCACCAATTTTTATACGAATATACAATTAAGTGGAATGCATTAAAAAAGAAAATAACTGAGATACTCACCTCTAGGAAATTTTTCAAATTCAACGAGAGTCCTTCTCATAAGTGACACATTTCGTAATGGATTAAGGTGAAGGTTGCTAGGATAGGTTAAAAAGGGAACTAATTTTCTTAAATAGAAGAAGAGTTGCAGAGACTACGGTATAGATATTTCTTAGTACATGAAAATTTCTTCCTTGTGTTAAATTTTCCTTAAAATAATAATAGCAGTACTTTTATTAATCTTCTATTTACTTTCCAAAAGTGATGCTCTTTAGGACTGTTTGCTTCTTGTAGGTTAACATGCCAGTTTGCGGATCTGACGGCAGGACGTATAATAACGAATGCTTGTTGAAAGTTCATGCTTGTTCCATTCAAAAGCACATTTGGGTGATTGACACAAAGCCATGTGGTGAGTGTTTGGTGATTGCACATGAACGAAATTACTTCACTTTTTTTTAACTAACAACAAGTTTGTTTCTTTGCGGCTCTAATTAAAGGCAAGGTACCTTAAAATGTAAAACATTGCTATTAAATGAACCGATGTTTGTCATTTTTGCAGGTGATCGATGTGCACACTTAAAGGACAGAAAAATGCTCTTAAAATTGTCCTGAGAGGACGTTACTTATTTATTTTATCATTCTAAACAATATCGGCAATATTTCAAATCCCAGTCGATTGAAAGAGAGATTTTCAGTGATGATAGTATGATTTGACTCTAAAAAATTCGTTATAGTTACATGATTTCGATAAAGGCATTAATTTAAATAAATCACAGTTCTAGATGCGTAATAAAAATGAGTAGCGGTATGTCATACGCAACTTCATTCTGTAATTTGGACTGTAATTCTCTGCTAAGCGGGCTTCTTTTTCATTGCAATCCCATTATGTCGAAATAACTTCTAGGAATAAGGAGACACTCCGTCAGATGTGCATCGTTAGACTTATCATCTTACAAACATGTCATCAAGTCATTTGCGTAACGGAGTGATGGGCACTCAATCTCTCCCTTAGCCACATGCTCCAAGCCCTGTCCTCTCGGGATGCGGTGTTTGGGTGGACAGTGTGTGTGCCGAGAGAGCTGTCCCAAACCGAGTTTGGCAGGTGAGGTCTGTGGAACAGATGGTCGAATATACCCCAGCGCCTGCGAACTGCGGCGGCAGGCATGTGTTAATAAGGTAACCGTGAAAGTCGATGGCTCTGGACTCGCTTGTCGCAAACCCACCTACACCTCCAATGCATCAACTTCCATTGATATCCAAGCAGGTGCAACACCTTTTATGATGGTCATTCATTGCGCTTGTTACCATATTTCATATTAATAAGCATAAAAGGATTTTGCATTTGTTAATAGATCAAGTCCTTGAAAACGTTTGCGGATGCAACAAAGTAGGATCACGTGACCAATTTTGCGATAGTAAAGGACGGTGCAGATGCCATTGGGGTGTTGAGGGTACCAAATGTGATCAATGCGCATCGGGTTATTGGGGCATCTCGAATGGCAAACCGTGTATCAGTAAGTTTTATTGCAAACCTATCCTAACACATTTTATTAATTATATCTTTATAAAAAAAACTTATTTATGTACGCCTTACTTGCCAGCTTTTAAAGGTTGTTTGGGTGGAACCAAATCATAAATTTTGGTAGAATGAGGTTTGACAAATTCTGGCATAAAAGAATGAAAGGGTGTAATATCGTGTTGTACTGGGAAAATTTAGCCCGTACATGCATATTTATTAGGGATATGTGAACAGTTGTTTTTTAAATTAGAATATGAGTTTCGCTGCACCTTAATTTAGGCCTTAATCAGAATAGAAAATAGCCATTTATTGGTTGTGTATTTTACCTTACAAAGAAGCAGAAAAATGCTAGTGAGGCTTCTAATTGAGCATAAGACAGGCAAGTTAGTTATCGGCATAGTTTGCAAAGTACTCAAAATGTAGAATTTATATTGGATAAAGAACAAAATCCTCAGTTTTTTGTGTAGTTTGTTGCAATATTTTGCTTTAATTTGTAAGGTCCTGTGTATGTGCATGCATTATTAAGCGTAGATAAAAATACATCACTCTACCGGTACGGTGTACTTTATTTGCTCTCTACTACTTTTTTTCGCCTTTTTGGTCTCATTTTCGTATCATTGAGGTCATTTAAATGTACCGGAAGGATGTAATTCCAGTTTGCCTGGCTTCCAAACCGAAGTAAATGCAGTTGCAAAGCTCAAGAAGCTTCTAGTCAAATCTATTGCTCACGAGCGTTTAAAGAAGGTTGGATGTGCAGTCGAGTACACTTTAATCCAAGCTGATCTAAACAACGAGATTCTACAAATAAAATATTCAAGGGTAGAGGCATCATGTTTGGAAAGGTCCCTTTTTAACCAGACTGGAGAATTAGCAGTCACCATTGATTGAAATAATTTGAACTTACAGTGATGCTTGACGTTGGTTATTAAAAGATCGGTTGACAGTTAAATCAGGGTGGATGGGAAAGTCGTGGTGAGAGCTAAGTAAATACTTACCATTCACATGCTGTACGCCGACAGATTACAAAGAGGTTCAAGGACTTTCACTTGGATCCTCATTTTATACTTCACATTATAAAAACCGGATGCATTCAGCCTGCTTGCTGACTGACTTGTATAGGAGAATGGCGCTTTTATTCAAACGTTAAGTCAACAAACGTCAGTGTTTATCTAACTACCAACTCACTGCTCACACCACTTATCGTACGCTTCTAAAGACTGCGATTCGTGTGACGCACTGAGGATAGTTACGTGCTTGCTGAGGGCCAAACTCTTACTATGACTGATATTTATCTGCTTGATATAATTCAAAAATATGGGAAACTCCTCCTTCTTTGCCTTTTGAAGTAATCGAGTTCAGTAGAAAAAGTGAATGTAGCAGTTATTGAGAAGGATGTACTTTTTCCCACAGGATAGTATGACCCAAAAACTTCATCCCTACTACAACGTATTGCAAACTTACCTGTGAGAGGACCTCGTACTGCACCTTGGGTTGGGATATTAGCAAAAAAATATATGATAGCCAGATGGGAAATAAAAGTTACATCGAGGCGATAGTGGTGTTTGTTACTCAAGTCGAAACGTTTCATAAGGGTGAAGTTTGCAGTTACCTTGTGCCAATTTGGAAAGGATTGTGGAACATAACGTTGAGTATTTGAAAAAAGAGAATAATTTAGTAAACTTCGTGTAGCCACTTAGTTCTTTAATAAAATCTCCATAAACTTCTTTTTGACTACTTTTACTATCCACAAAGGGTATTCAAGCAACCTAACAAGTGAGACAGCAATAATGAGTCCAGGTTAGGCGTGTGCGTAAATATCGCTGATAATCACAGGTCCAAGTTAAAGTATCACTCCTTTAAATTTTAAACCAGGCTGCTCCTGTAATCCGTCTGGTTCAATTGCCGTAAACACCTGCGATTCATATTCGGGTCAGTGCAAATGCAAACCAGGGATTCGTGGACAGCAGTGCAATATCTGCCCCAATGGAGAATTATTAACGGGTGAACATTGTAAAGGTGAGTCCTAAATACCACTTATTTTGACAGTTTAATTTAATTTCGTGATATTAACCTTTTTTTGCATTTTCAGAACCACTGTCAAAGATGCCTTCTGTAAAACCGGAGATGCGCAAAACAGAAGAGGGGGCACTGGTGTCTGGAATAAATTTCACACCACTAGCCACAGCATTTATATCCTTCACTCAGTTAATATCCCCCCCATTTACTTTCACTCTTAAGTTCACGCCTTCTCCTGGTGTTTCTGATGGCGATATTGCTCTTCTCGTTATTCCACGTGCGGACAAAGTCGGCCAGTATAGCTTCCTCAAACTAGGTATATCTTCTGGAAATCTGGAATTGAGGTATGAAAAAATGTTTTTAAATCCTTATCGTCCATTAGTTTTATAAATTAGGGATTATTGATTCTTTTTTAGTTATGTTAGCAAACTTGGGATGGGAAAAACTCGGTACATTATGGGAAAGCATAAGCTGGAACCACAGCCAATAAAGGTTTCTGTGGAAGTGACAAATGACGCAGACTTAAGTCTTTATGTGGCTAATTCGACCAGTTTCGGTGTTTTCAAAGGCGCAACCTCAAGACTTATTCGATCTGACGAGTATGGTGTAATGACTAGCAATCGCGGTATGGGACTGGTGCTTGGATGTATTTCACCGAATCGGTGAGATCATTGCTTCGAGCTATTGCAAACTTTCTCCTTTCTTTGCATCCATATCCTCGTTGATGTCCCAGTTTTTTCTTACTGGTTGTGTTTTAGAGCTCTTGTTAGCAAATGCGGATTTTCCGGTTGTCTAACTGAAGCAGAGCTAGTTTACCATCCAACCATTGGCCAAGTGCAGAGGCATGTCTTTGTCACAAATGGGAAGGCGACTGGACTAAACTGGAAGCACTTACCCAGAGATGGAATTCGAGTTTGCCTTAGCCAAATCTCAGGTCAGGAAGTACCAAAGAATTTGCTTAGTTCAGAGGCTCTCATCAATTGTGACCTACTGAATCCTTGTAAAAACGGAGGACAGTGCATTTCAATGACCGATGGAAGCTTCAAGAAGTGCGTCTGCCTCCCTGGCTGGCAGGGTAATTATTGTCAATTAGGTAAATCAGTAAATCCTCCATAATTTGCTTATTATTAGCATTCAAAATTAAATGCTTGTGGCATTTTAGGCCTTAATTTTATTTCCAATATCACCAAATCAAAGCTGTCATCTAAAGCTTGCTTAATTGTCTTTGAAGATTTCTAAAATCTTTCCAAGCCTATTCATGATATTTTAGACGTATGTGAATCCACCATTTGTAGAAGATTTGCTTTTGGCATTTTAAAAATGGTATCAAATTTTCCTTTTTTAAATATGGAAGTTTTTTCCAAAAATTGGCCATCCTTTCTTGAAAAGCAATGGAAAAGTGTACTCCTGACTAAAAATCATTGAAAAATGGAATAACTAAGTATTATGCAAGTAAGCAAGTATTTTCTTTGAACAAACAATTTTCATTCATAACTTTATAGAAGCTGCAATAATTCCAGAATTTAGTGGCAAGGCCTTCATACGCCTTGCTGGTCCGACGGGTGCAGAATCCCTTAAAAAACGGAAAATGAGTGTGGAGATTATTTTTTTGCGAAAACCCGATGAAGGTATGCCTTTTTTCTTAAATATTCACATTTATCTCCGAATTTTTAAAATCTGTGGCACTATTCTTTTAACTTTTCTCTTAAGGTAAGTAACATTTAAAATACAAATGTTGTATTTATGTATAATTGCATAAAATCATGCCTTTACATTTGCTCAGTGCGCATCTGGGAGTAAGCCCTCCTCTTTCAAAAATATCTTCTATGCCTAACAAAAAATGAAAGTTTTGTTTAGTTTGTGCTTTTTACTTGAATTTGGCAAACAGTTGAAAAATACGCAGAAATATTTCGCCATTTAAGTGACTTCACGCCAAACGAACACTAAATTCATTGATGCAACGTCTGATATTATGGTTTCTCGACAACAAACCTGTTATCTTTTAGGAATCATTTTTGCCATACCGCCAAGCCAAAACGGATCAGAATTTATTGTGATTCGGGCGGACTCGGATGAGTGTTTGAAGGTCTACCTTCGTGTGGGTCGCATTGTCCAATTTTCCCATAGCTACTTCTACAACTGGCTTCTGGAGCGCTTTGGACCACGGCAGCGACTCGCCATTGCTAAAATCTGCTCTGTAGCCAACGATGAATGGCACAAACTCAGTATTGAAAAGACTAGTCATTACATGACCGTTCGACTTGATGGTAAAAAATCAACGAGACTGCGTCTTGTAAGAAACTAAAGCAATCCGAAATTTCAAATGTTCAAAGTTTTTAAGAATTGCAGCAGATGATTGATGAAAATCGTACGGTATTGGAATATAGCCCATTGTAGCAACTTCTAATAACTTAGATTACATCCAAAATGAATGTGATTGCTTATACGCCTACAAGGACAACAACTATTCTCTTTGTTGTGCTCTCTGTTTTTCCCCTTATTTTGAACCCATTTTCCTGCCACGAAGTACTGCTTAAGCGTGTTATCTTTGTGGACTGAGGTTGACATGGCTCTAGAGTTGCAGAAACTTCCTAAATAATTTTACGCATAGCATTTTAACAGCATACGCTAGCAAGTCAACACAACTTACAGAAATGGTTAAAACAATCTGAAATAATCTGCATCTCGTTTGGTAAGGTCTCTCGTTTTTGGTTAGAATGGAGAGGCAGCCGTCAAGGGCAGATAGTCTACAACCACGTCATTTGGATCTCACCTACATTCACCAATTTGTACTTCGGTTTGCACTTCATCTATTTTTTACTTTCCAAAGTGCACTGTTGATAAAGGATTGGTTCTCGACTAACTTGGGTGGATTGCCATCGAATGACCTAATCACTACCCATACTACCCCTCCCACACTTTTAAGGCACCTACTACACCATCGCTAGAAGACTGAATTCTGCGTGGATGTTTTTGTGGACGAGAGGAAGGGGCTGTCTCATAATTCCTGTTAACCTTATGTTTCTCTAAGTAGGTGTCACATACGTAGTGGCTAGCTGTGAAATGTAAGTGCGATGAAAGCAGAGGGGACTGGGATTGAAGCTTTCGCTTCTAGAAGCAAAACACATCTTATACTAATTAAATCTGCAAGTCAGGGTCTTCTTAAGGAAAAATTTGTAAGCAATTAAAGTATGTTATAAAGCTTTCTACATTTATTAGCTTCTTGCCATAAAAATGAAACCAAATTTTGGCCTTACTTTCGATGATAAGATTTGCACTTTTAAATTGGAGTCTCATTTTATGGTTTTACTTGCATAGGGGACGGAATATTTTTCAGGTCTCCACTTCACTATCTTTTATAAAATATGTAACATTCCACTTTTTTGCATATTTACTTGTTGGCGAAAAAAATTACCATAGTATGAAAGGACCATGCTTTTGATGATTAATTTAATCACTAGGATATTTTGCAGTGCCATTTAAAGTTATTACCAAATAGCTGGAAATAAAAATGTTTAAATACCTAAAAAAGGCAGATTTTCTTGCAGAGTGCCCTATTTATTCAAAATTGAATAGAGAACTCGATTTCATGATTATTTTTAATTAATCTTTTGTTTAATAATAGCGTACACACTTTATTTTGTTGTTGCGTTTTAAAATGGTGTATTACTTGATTTTTCGATAAAATAATTTGTCAAAATTTATATAGTTTCAAATGTATTCATCTCTCCTCATTTTTATTTTAAGCTTCCACAAAGATTGCCAAAGACCAACCGAGAATTACGGAAAGCAGTGAGCTATAATGAAGATATGTTTGTTTCTCGCACTGACTCATATCATAGAGCTTATTTGCCATTTTAGCTAACCAGCTTTGATCTCTCAAGTAGTCCGGTGTATCTTGGTGGAATTCCAGACAAAGAGAGCCACTTTCTTGACGACTTTGTGCTCTTAAAGCAGTCTTTCGTTGGAGCCATTCAAAAGGTTTGAATGGAGTTTAATTTGACTCCATTATTGGTGTACTTAAGCTGAGGTATTAAATCGTACTTTTAAACAGGTTCGTTTTAAATGGAGCTGAACTTGTACTGGCTGGACCTTCACAGAACAAGGAGGAATCCCTGAG